AGACCCAGCAGGCCGCCGTGTCCATGACTGGGTCTGTCTCCACCCTTAAAAAAAACGTGCAGTGTGCATAGGAATTTCTTCATAGTTTGTTTTTTTTAAAACTATAGTCTGGCCCTCCAACGGTCTGAGGGACAGTGAACTGGCCCCGTTTAAAAAGTTTGAGGACCCCTGGCCTAGAGGGTCGGGATCAGTTCGATGGCAGTCAGTCTGCTTGTTTCCTGTATAGTGGCTGGTAGCTTCAAGCTGCCAACTTGCTGTTAGCAGCTGGGCACTCGGAACCCTCAAAGACCAGAACTGCTGCAGCCTCCTGTCCTCACTGCCTGCTCTCCTCGGGACAAGGGGGTGAACGTGCTAGGCTTCTGAGGGCTGGCCCACAGCCCCGCCCCCTCCAGCAGGCACCACCAAGGAAAGGCCAGCCAAGCCACAAGTACCTCCTTTCAAAGGGCCAGCTTAGGGTTTTTCCCAGTGAAACCTGGGCCCTTTCACAGAGGTGAACTGGCAACACACACACAGCCAGTTGCGCTCCTTTTTCAGACACCATCCCTCACCATTTCTGAGGGGACAGAAAACCCACCCTTATTGTAGAAGCCAGTACCAAAGGCCACCCTTCACTGTGCCACCCCACAACCTGTGTTTGATGGCTGGTTCTCAGAAGTTGGTCACCTGGCCTTCCAACATTCTTTGGAATAGCCATAAACCTTGTTGCAGTTCATGGATGCCTTGGCACTGGGCAGGGCAGGGTAGGGAGCCTCAATGACCCTGCTACCTCTGGGCTGGGTGGAAGCGAGAGCCTTATAGAGGCCAAGCTTCTGCAAGTAGTCCTTTCATGACTTCTTCCAGGGTTTTCCCTCAGCCCCACCCAGAGGTAGGAGTGCCCCCAGTGGACATCTTTCAAGCAGAGAAGCTTCCTGGGGTGGCTCTGGCCCCAGTGCATGCCCAATGCCACCTCAGCCAGTTCACCAGGTCACAAAAGCCAGGCCACTAGAGGAAAGGGCAGTGCTGGCGGGACATGGTGCAACTGGTGGGTCATTGACCAAAATACTACACAGGCAAACATTTGTCTCGAGATAGCAGGGTCCCCACACCGCATTAGGAAACCTGGCACAGGTGAGAGGTGAGGGCTTGCCAAGGTGATGCCCAGGACCCAAGTCGAGGAAAGGTCGGCAGCACCAAGACCACGAGGCAGGCACAGGGCAGGCCTGAGCAGAGGGGAGAGGAAGAGACCAGAGAACCTT